CTATTAGTGGACTGTCTCTCGGCAGCCCAGTGTGGCGGTCTTTCAGATCAGCATGGCCTCAGTTTATAGACTTCTGGCCTCGAGATGATTCCAGAGCAGTCCCCCGACCTCAAGGTGAAGCCCCGTGCAGTCTGGAGTCTTGGTACCAGCGTGGACTGCATTGGAAGGATTGTTATTCTAAACTTTTCATTTCTGGTTTCTGTATTTTTCTAATTTATTCCTATGGTTTGCAATGCTAGACTTCTTTTGTGTATTATTCTAAATTCTTTTCCCTAATAATTTGTACTTAAGAATCTGTACCTACGTACCTTTGTACCTGAGATGGTGCCATTAGCGGCGATTAGGTAAACTTTTCACCGTACTAATTCTATTTTCATTCTACTTTCATGTTTAGGAGCTGAGTTTTAATATAGAGGCAGATGAATATGGTTCAGTTGAATGGAGGTTTTCTTCAAAATAAAACCAAGATCAGAAATCTTGTGTATCACTGACGTTAACCCAGCTTTGTTCAGAGAATAAGTGGTTGTAGACTCCTTTGTTGTCTTGATGAAAAATTGCTTATACTGTCATAGTTTGCAACAAGTGGAACAAACGTTGAAGGTCTTAAGTTCATTTCCAGTTCAGAATAATCAAGGATTGATTTTTCATTTTGAAAACCCAGAGATTAAAGGTTTTTACGGTTCAGAAGCAATTTTAATTTCCCCTCCTTTATAGGAGCTCAGGACAGTTTGGGGAAAACTTTACTTTGTGCAGTTTCCAAAGCAGGACAGTTTGCTTTGAAACTACAAGTTATTACGAACAGATAAAACTCTTTGTTTTTAAAGCATTCATGTACGAAGACTGCACATTTCACCGGAAAGAAACCAAGAAGAATCATTATGTAGAACATAAGATTTCATGTAGAAGGGTAATTCCTCTGGATTTAAATTTCTGTTGATTTAATAGTGTTGAGAAATAGGTTGTACAGTTTCTTTTGTTGTGTGTCTTAAGGTCTTTCTGAACTGTCCTGTATTTGAAGATGATTTATATAGTTTGCTTTGTTTTTTGTGTAATAAGCTTTTGCTTTGTTGTTAAAGAAGCTCAGCAGCTTTGTATGACTTTGACTGGATTCCATATTAAGTAAAATTTTAAAAGATGATCTATTTCTAAGATCTGACTTGTCCAGTAGCACCATCAGCTGAGGTCGTAACACTAATGTCAGGACCCATAGCCCAAGCAGAATCCAATGCTATTTAATTGATATCGCATAAAGTGAATTGAATTGGCTGAAGAGTAGCATCTGTGATGTTGGCGACATCAGTAGGAAGCTTTTGTTGGATCGTTCACTTGGTATTTCTGGCTGAAGATGCTTGCAGATACCCTCAGCTTTGTCTTTTGCATAGGTATGTTAATCCGCACATCATTGAAAATGGGGATGTATATGATGCCTCCTCTTCCATATACTACTCCGCATCCACATACTACCCCACCAACCTCCAGATAAAACGCATCATCCTCTGACATTTTCGCCACCTACAATCAGATCCCACCACCAAAAAGATATTTCCCTCCCCACCCCTATCTGCTTTCCGCAGGGACTGTTCACTCCGCAACTGCCTCGTCAGTTCCACACTCCCCACCAACCCCTCCACCACACTCGGTACCTTTCCCTGTAACCACAGAAGGTGTTACGCCTGCCCCTACACCTCCCCTTCACCTCCATCCAAGGCCCCAAATGATCCTTTCAAATCCGGCAAAGTTTCACCTGTGCTTCATCCAACCTCATCCACTGTATCTGTTGTTCCCGATGTGGTCTCCTCAATATCGTGGAGACCAAATGCAGACTCGGGAATCGGTTTGCAGAGCATCTCCACTCTGCACGCACCAACCAACATGACCTTCCAGTTGCCATCCACTTTAACTCCCCCTCCCACTCCCCTGGTGACATGTCTGTCCTTGGCCTCCTCCACTATCAGAGCAAGGCCAAACATAAACTGGAGGAACAACACCTCATATTTCGCCTCAGGAGTTTACAGCCCAATGGCCTGAATATTGATTTCACCAGCTTCAAAATCCCTCCTCCCCCAACCTATCCATCTTCCTACTCCCCAATCTTTTGCTGCTTCTGCTGTGTTTGGCATCCAGTGCTGTAGCTTCACCAGGTTGATACTCCATTTTTAGCTATGCCTGTTGCTGCTCTTGACTTGCCATCCTACTATTTTCTTTGAGCCAGGATTAATGCCCTGGCTTGGTATTGACAGTAGAGTGAAAGATACAATGGTCTGTGAGGTTACTGTTGATGGCAGCAGAATCTCTCCGTAATATTCTTTTCATGAAATAGCAGTTCTTGCTCCCATGTCTGCAAAAGGTATCTTAGGAACAAGAGAAGGTGACAGGAAGGTGACATCAAATAGCCCTTTGTTCCAGGTAGCCAACTTAAACAACCCTCATCCCCAAATCACTTGCTCCAAGTTTTCTTACCTTTTGATCCATTTGCTACATGCCAATATCCTGAAATAAAATTCACCACTCAAAACCATAGCAGCTTGATTGAACACTTCCAACAACATATCCTAAAACTATATATTTTACCCTTGTGCATTTCCTTATGGCCTCCTCTATCGGTGAGTTTGCCTGCCCTAGTGCTTCTATACAGTGCTCCCTACTGGCTGCAGCATTTTTGGTGGAAGGCTGCTGATTTTCATTTGGAGAAACCGTGGATGACCTTGCAGAACAACCTCAAGCAGTTCTGGTCATTTGACCTTGCTTTGCACTGCCCAACCTCACCTTGACAGATTCAGTCTGGGTTAGCTACCTGAAAGACAATGGTAAAGTCACCGACTATTTGGCATCCTGAGAGAAGACAGCTAGTTCACGCACCTTGGCTCCACTGCTAAACCTGAGGGGCAAGATTTTCAACAATCTTAGAAACCTGCTGTGAGATCAGGCATGCCATTTGGACGGATGTGTTCAGCCATCATGATGGTGGTATTTTTGAGCCTCCATGGCAACAGGCAGAGATTCTATGACCCATTCTGAATTTCCACTGCAGCGCTCTGTTAGTCGAGGTGGTAGCTGAGACATTGGCCGTCACACAGTACATGACAGCATGGTACATAAATGCTGTCAAAGGATTAGTTATTGCTCCCATGGTGGAAAAGATGGGCTCCAAGTTGTATGTGAAACTTTGCCATGTCCCTTGTCAGTGACTGCAGGTTCAATGGCAGATCTACCAATGTATCTGGCGTCTCTATTTGTGCACCCATCAATGTTATACTGATTTAAGTCCTCAACAGAGTCTGCTGCAGCCAAACTTGTCTGCAGTGATCCTGACCTGGTTGCTCAGTGATTCAATACAGACTATCTTTGTGACGATACAAGGATTTAAGAGGTGTATTTTGTCCTTTTTTTATGAAGAAAAGTTGAGACAGAGGTACCGAGTGGACAGCTCAAAGCCAATAGAGTGAACAGCTTGTGATGCCTTGGGGCTTTTTTTTAAAAAGTCGGAACAATAGAAACTTCATCTAACTTTGTCTACTGTATCCGTTGCTTCCGATGTAGTCTCCTCTATATTGCGGAGACCAAACGCAGACCCCATATACAAACCCATACAGAACAGAACCGGAAATGATATAACTCACCGTAACAGACCAGGCGGTATAAGTTCCAAGCGGAATAGAACAACATTGTTCCATTGGAGGCCTCACTGATGTTACCTAGCATGGTGACGAAACGTCTGAATGAAAGCAAGCAAGCTAGCTCGGTGAGCAGGTCAACAACCTCACCCACAACCCGAGCTACAAATCTTAGCAAAAATTTATTTTACTGGATTTGCCTTTGCCAAGGATGTGTTTATAGAATGTTACTGTATTGGGACAGTTTATTTGTAGTAGTTAATAAAAATATTATTTTGTCAAGCATTTCGATAGAGTTAAGCCAATTCTTTTATTTTGTCTGTATTTTAACTGTAGTGTAAAAGTAAACTGTGTTTTGCTTAAAGTTGTGTAGTTTGACCAATTGAATTGCATCTGGAACACAGTGCCTTACACTTACATTTAAAATAAGAAAAAGTTAGAGTCAAGACTTTCTTCTTAATATATTTTGAGGGGGTTTGTCTGATTCCTAACAACATACTACTTTATAAAAGGCTTAATTTCAACGACTGGTTGAGTCACAGTGGTGATAACCTTGGATGTCTCCAGGACACCTTATGGCATTGGTTTGTTTTGAAAAATTATGTTAGTTACTCAAAGAGCCTTCAGGGTATACCCATTGTTGTATCAAAATTCCTCAGTAGATAAACATTTTCTGTGTTAGGGATTCTGCTGATAGCTGTGTCAATCTCCTCAACAAAATGTTTTTTTTTCCTCTGTCATGGGGCACAATCTCGGAAACTGTTAGGAAATTTACAGTGCAGTTTTATTTGGAAACTGCCTGGTATGTGAAAATATGAATATTGAGAAACACTTGAAAATTTGGGGCTAGTTTCATTCGAAAATTGTAGCTATAGAGTGACATGAACTACAAAATAATGTGGGCACGAGATGCAGACTGCAGTGGAGAAGGTGGAGGAAGAGTATAAGAATGTTTTAAAAGGACCGAGGCTACGAGGGCGGGAGAAACAAACCTCTTTCCTGAGGCTCTGGAATCATATGTTGGCGGGGGCTGTGACAGAGAAAATATCAAAACAAGGTGTGAGACTGAAACATTGAGAAAAATCAATTGGAGGCAAATGTAAATCGGGACTGTTTTGCTGTATGGGGAGGACGTGTTAGCCTGGAGTGCGTGGCTGTGCTGAAATGTTTCAATGTTGTAAGGTCTCCATCTCCTTTTTGATTCAAGCTCCGTTCAAATTTCTGGAAAGAATTGCGGACGGAGCTGGATGGAATGGAACGACCTGCTGCCTGTATGAAAGATGGCGACGGCCGCTGTGCACTCACTTGTTCAGATGGAGGCCGCCTTCCTGCCTGTTTCCGGTTGACGTCAGTCCTCCCCCATCGCCCCCCCCCGACCGCCACCGCCGTTCGCTGGCCGCCATATTGGAGTCTGTTACCCTGGAGCTCGAGTGGGGTTTGTGCCGGAGTGAATCGGGAGTGAAATCGGAGCCGGGGATGAGCTGTGCCGAGGAGAAACGAGTTGTTGCCCGGAAGAAGAAGAACAAGCGGGGAGCGGCGAACGGCACCGTGGTCCCGGGAGAGAGTCGCAGTCCGAGTCCCAATCCGGCGGAGGACGTGCCGAGGCCGCCGCAGGGCGAGCAACCACGGACGGGGATGGAGCCGGAGCCAGGCCCAGGCCCAGGCCCAGGCCCAGGCCCAGGCCCAGGCCCAGGCTGGAGCGGGGAGCAGGTAAAGAGCACCCTGCCTCGGGCCCAGAAGAGGCTCTGTGTGAGTGTGTGTTTGGGTTGGGCAGTGGATTGCGGTGAGCAGCCCCATTTTTACATCTTCTAACCCCCGGTCAATCTGTGTGTGTGTGTGTGGGCCGCGTGTTATGGTCATTTGTGATGAGACTGTGAAGCCAGGGGTCTGGAGGAGAAGGGGTTAAAACCTGGGCTTGCATGAGGTGAGAGTCCATGAAAGGGGAGCCCACATCTATCTGCCTCAAACAAAGAGGATGCTGCTCAAGATTGGACCTTAGAGTCACAGAGCTGTACAGTCCGTCCATGCTGACCAGACATTAATTAATCTGGCCTCATTTGCCAGCATTTGGCCCATATCCCTCTGAACTCTTCCTATTCATATACCCATTCAGATGCCTTTTTATGTGGTAATTGTACCAGCCTCCACTACTTCTTCTGACAGCTCATTCCATACATGCAGCACCCTCTGCGTGAAAAATTTGCTCTTTCGGCTCCTTTTTAAATCTTTGCCCTCTCCCCTTAAACCTATGCCCTCTAGTTTTGGACTCCCACCTCCCAGGGAAAAGACCCTGGCTATTTCACCCTATCTATAGAATCCCTATGGTGTGGAAACAGACCCTTCGGCCCAACAAGCCCACACCGACCCTCAGAGCACCCACCCAGACCCATCCTCCTATAACCTACCTAATGTACAAATCGCTGAACACTACGGGCAATTTAGCATGACCAATCCACCTAGCCTGCACATCTTTGCACTGTGGGAGGAAACCGGAGCACCTGGGGGAAACCCATGCAGACACGGGGAGAATGTGCAAACTCCACACAGTCGCCCGAGGGTAGAATTGAACCCGGGTCCCTAGCGCTGTGAGGTAGCAGTGCTAACCACGGTGCCGCCCCATGACCCTCATGATTTTATAAACTTCTGTAAGGTCACCCCTAAGTCTACAACACACCAGCTGTCCCCTATAGCTCAAACCCTCCAATCCAGGCAACATCCTTGCAAATTTTTTCAGAATCCTTTCAAGTTTGACAGCATCTTTCCTACAATAGAGAGATAAGAATTGAGTGTAGTATTCCAAAAGTGGCCAAACTAATGTGCCATGCAGCGGCAAAATGACATTCCAACTTCTATACTCTGTACTAACCCAATAAAGGCAAGTGTACCAAATGCCTTCTTTACTACACTGTCTACCTCCAACTCTGTTTTCAAGGAACTGTGAACCTGCACCCAAGGTCTCTGATGTGGAGGTGCCGACCTTGAACTGGGGTGGACAAAATCAAAAATCACACAACATCAGGTTATAGTCCAAAAGGTTCGTTTGAAATCATAAGCTTTCAGAGTGCCACCCCTTTGTTAGGTGCAGTGAGAAGAGAGCACACAGACAGAGTTTATTGGCAGAGAGATCAAAGGATCGTGCAACTGGTGTGAATGGAGTGAACAAAGCTAAAATGGCTGGCTGATTTTGACTGCCTCCTGTTGAATCTTTAATCATTCATACATTCCTGCATTCTGGAAATTGCAAAGGCAGGATATGGAGAACTCTGTTAGAAAGGAGCTGCAAGTTTCATTTGATTAAGATGCAAATTCCAGAATCTGTTTCAAGTCACTGTCCTGAGATAATGAAATGTTTCATTAGTGGCTGCCTAACTTTCCAAGCTTCAAACAGGCAGAGCAATTGGAATATACAAAATTCATCTCAGATCAGACACTGAGTTGTATGTGTGAGGCCTTGGCCAGAATCTGTCTCAGAGTTTTAACCTGGATTCGGGCTGGTTTTATTCCGAGAGCAAAAATTTATAAAATGCCCCACAGACTGTGACTACAAATTGTGTGTTTCTTGAACAAAATAGAATGTATCTGCAAATAAACAAACATCTTGGATGAAATGATTCACCCCATTGGTTTATATGTGTGTGTGTGAGAGACAGCGAGAGAGCGAGCATGAGAGTGAGTGAGTGTTATAAGTAATCCAAAACTGTACAGACTAATTAAGGTAGAGAGATTATAACAATTTATCACGGTGATGCTGTCAAAACAGGACAGTAAGGAAGATCTAACAGATACAGAAACGTGTGGTGGGGTCACCTGTAACATGACAAGAACCGAAGATCACGGTTAAGGCCGTCTTTATGGGTACAGAACTTGGCTGAATTTTTGCTTGGTGATTCTGCATTGTGGGTATCTCGAATTCTGCCTTGGAGGACACTTACCGAAGATTGGAGGCTGAATGCCCTTGACCGCTGAAGTGTTCCCTGACTGGGAGGGAACACTCCTGCTTGGCAATTGTTGCACAGTGTCCATTCATCTGTTGTCGCAGCGTCTGCGTGGTCTTGCCAATATCTTTGCCTGCATGTATGAGATTGACAATAATGGCTGAGTTGCACGAGTATCTGCGGTGTACGTTGTGGGTGGTGTTCCCAACATGTGATGGTAATATCCATGTCAATAATCTGACATGTCTTGCAGAGCTTGCCATTATCAGGGTTGTGTGTGTTGTGGTCGATGTTGTCCTGAAGGCTGGGAGTTTGTTGCGAACAAAGGTCTGTTTAAGGTTCAGCTGATTTTTGAAAGCGAGAAGTGGAGAGATAGGGAAGATCTTGGCGAGATGCTCATCATCATCAATGTTGTGTTAAAGGCTGCAAAGAACATGGCGTAGTTTTTGATGAAGGGGACTCTTGGTCGTATCTTGTGTGTTTTCTGAGGTGGTCATTGCGGTTTTTTGCTGTGGCATGTCGGAACTGGTGATCGATGAGTTGAGCATCGTGCGTCCTTCAAAGCCTTCAGGTATCTGTCGCGTTCCTCCTCATCTGAGCAGATCCCAAATATGTGCAGGGCTTGTCCATTGGGGGAGGCTTTTTTAATATGTCTTGGGTGGAAGCAAGAGAATTGTAGCATTGTGAGGTTATCTGTAGGTTTGCAGTAGAGTGAGGTACTGAAGTGTCTGTTCTTGATGGAGAAGCGCGTGCCAAGGATGAGATTGATTCTGAAGAATAGTCCATAGTAAGTCTGATGGTGGGATGAAACTTTTTGATATCGCTATGTAATTGTTTCAGTGATTCCTCGCCATGAGTCCAAATTAAGAAAATGTCATCAATGTATCTGGTGTATATATAGCGTTGCTCGGAGGTTCTGCACAGTAAAGTCTTGTTCCAATATGTGCATGAAAATATTGGCATATTGGGGTGAAAATTTGGTCTCCATGGCTGTTCCGTGTGTCGAGATGAAGAACTGGTTGTCGAAGGTGAAGACGTTGTGGCCGAGGATGAAACATGGCAGATATTCATGTGACTTGGCCAATGTTGTCTATCTCATACATTACAGGCAATGATGCCCTGAGGTATGGTATGTTGGTGAGACCATGCAGATGCTATGACAATTGATGTATGATCACAGCACAACAATTGCCAGTCAGGAGTGTTCCCTCCCAGTCAAGGAGCACTTCAGCAGTCAAGCTCATTCAGTCTCTGATCTTTGGGTAAGCCTCGTCAAAGATAGACTTCGAGATACATAACAATGCAGAATGACTAATAGCCAAGTTCCGTACACCTGAAGATGGCCTTTTCCGTGATCTTGGATTCATGTTGTGTTTACAGGTTGCCCCACCATGCTATTCTGTATCTGTAAAATCTTCCTTACTGCCCTGTTCTGACAGAATCACCTTGATAAAGTATGATTTCTAACTTAGTTAGTTTGTACATTTTTGGATTACTTATTGCATGCTCCACACAAGCATGCACTCGCTCTCTCTTCCCCATGCGCGGGCTTTCTCTGCCTGTCTTGCCCTGACCCGTGCCCTCTCTTCCTCTTTTTCGCCCGCATGTGCGTGCTCTCTCCCTTGCTCCATCCCTGTCACTTGCGTGCAAGCTCTCCTGCTCCC